CTCCCCCATTCACCAGTTCTTTTGAAGCCGTTTTTTACCGCTGCTGTGGCATTCCGCGGGGGCGGTAATCGCACAACCCAGGCCACACGAACTGCGGGAAGTCTACCCTGGTGAACGCCCTGTCGGGGATACACCCCCGCAGGGGTCCCGCCTCCACCTCCGACCGCGCGGGCTGGACAGACCTCGTCGGTTTCTACCAAGTGGGCAAGAAGCCCCCTGTGCTGACTCTGGCAAGTGTCTTGAAAAGGCGTCTCGTAAAGTGATTGCCTGGTGTTGTATGTAGTTGCCTCTGTATTTCGACCGAAAGGTGCTCTTGGGTTTCTTTTTTTTTTGCAGAAAGAAGGACGACCCCTTGTGCTCTGTCCTCTCGAGGACGCGTGGTCAATGGTGTAACTAAGGCATGCAAAACATGCGTATACCCTTCCCCCGCGGGGCTTGACCCTTTGCAAAAAATTGGAACAGGAAATGGCAGAGAGGCGGTCCTAGTCGGTCGAGGGTTCCCGTGGGCCTCTATCCACTGGGCGGCCAAGAGATTCAGCGCTCTCCCGCGTATTCACTCATCTTGCGCCTGGCAATCATGCAGTTGTCGTAATTTTTCGACCGAAGCGCCCTGGACAACGGGCTTGCTGTGCGTCTCCCGTCGTTCGGTGTCACATCGGAGAATACTTGAGGGCTTTAGTCGTCCGTCCATTGTTGTAGTATGTATCTTGCTTGTAGTAGTACTAGTAACTAGTAGTACTAGTAGTACTAGTACTAGTAGTACTAGTAGTACTAGTACGGTGATATGGTTGTTCTTCTTTCCAGCCTGTTTTGCCGTCAAAAATAGCAAGACACAATACCCAACAGCAATGGTAGAGGTCGGAATATTTGCAGCTTGGGCTCTCTACCTTTGTCTCCTCTTTCTTTCGACGTAGGTTTAGCTCAAGATGTGTGAATGCGTTCCTGCAGTCTGAAGCTCTGCAGGAATATTAACTTGCTCTTTTTCTTTGTGCAGGTCGATCTTCCCGGATACGGCCACGCTGTCGCAACGAGGCACGCGATCAAGGGGTGGTTGAGGATGATCAAGGAGTACATCACCACCCGGCAAGAGCTTATCAGGTTTGTCATTATAATGCAAACCAAAGAACCGCCCCCAAAGTACACTGTTTTTTATACCTAAGCTAGTGGTTTGCCCGCCCGAGCACAAAGGAGTGTTCGCATCACTGTGCTGTCGTTCGATCCCTTTCGCCCCCCCCCGGCTGCAGTCATGAATGACCCTAAGACCGTGCAACAGTTGTGACATGTTTTTTTCGAGCAGCTTTGCATTCTTCTGCGTTGAGAATCGCCTAGAATTGCGTAACGTGGGTTCCCGAGGCGAACACAGGGAAACGCAGCCTTTTGTTGATGATTTCGTGTCGAAACCGTTGGGGCGTTCGCAAGGATGCGGTCAGTGTGTGCGCACGTGCGCACCGCAATAGCCCCATGGCTTTTATTGAGAATTCGCAACGAGGTGGTATTTCCCGCTGCTCGGCAGATGCGATATTTGAAATCGTTGAAGTAGTTTTGTCTATCGCAGCCAGCTTGTCGCTGTTTCTTCCGTCATGGGCGATCACCGAAACCAATGAAACAAACGAAACAATCCAAACCGTTCTTCTAGGGGTGCTGACCTGCTAGACTGTGTACCTCTATTGCTTGTTTTTTTTTCAGGTGCTGCGTTCTCGTAGATTGCACCCGAGGATTCTGCGAAGAAGACCGGGCCCTGCTGCAGCTTCTCGCCAAGCGCAACATCCCATACCAGGCAAGCAGCAGCAGCAGCAGCAGCGGCACGATCATGAACAGCAGTAGTTTGCTGTGAATTCAATCTGAGAACTGGGAGAGCTCCCGCGTTTGTGTGTGATTTTGTGCGAACCCGCACGTCATACTCAGCGATGACGTCATAGTTAATCTTTTGGAATTGGTTTCCCGTGTTTTCGTCACGCTCACGACACTTTTGGTGACACACACTCAAGAGTGCGCTCTTTCTCCTAGCCCACACCCCAGAGCACTGTGAATGACTGGAGCAACAAGCACAGCAGACCGGTAGCAGCACCATAAATATTGAGTCAAAAACATCAACACGTGACTTTTAGGACACCGTGACCAAGAAAGTTCACTGAAGACGGACAGGTTACAATAATACATGACACACATCCAGAGGAAAATACCGAGAATGCTCTGCAATAGACCGATCCTGGGAAGCACCATGTGATCTTGCGCCACCCTCGGGATGCCCGTAGCCAACGTCCCGAAGGAAGGCCTCGTATGCAAAAAGTGCAAATGTAAATGTATCGTTTCGATGTTTTGTTGCTTCGGCTTAGCTTTCTCTGACGGCAGTGAATATTTCCTCACGCTTTCTTCTGAGCGGCACGCGAGAGGCTCGGCTCGTCATTACAGCACCGGGCATGTGTGGAGCTCGGCAGGCTTTCGTGGAGCATGTGTTCGACGCCTAATCTCGCGGCGGACTGGTTCTATTACCCGTGGGTGATTTTCCGCGCAAGGTGCTCTTTTAATCGTTCCCCGCTCGCCGGTGTGCTCGGTCCAACGCCGCAACGGGCACCGCTTTGCAGATAAAGCTGATCACATGCTCCCACAATCCATCCTATTCTCGTTGCTTCTTCGGAACCAAGCACTTCCGAACTTTAGATACACCAAGCCATATATAGTCGTTCGGCAAAGTCATCTTTCGTCACCTCCAGGTGTGTAATTAATGTTTTTCCCACCACTACAGTCCCGTGTGTGAGTTTCCTACATCGTGTCCAACTTGTCAGATAATCTCTGAGCGAACGTCGCCATTCTCATCGCCACGGTCTCGCGTGTTGATCCATATCTTTTTGGGTACATTCTGCGATCTTCTTAGTTTTCGCTTGCCACGTCGTCATCGCCGTCGCCGTCGCCGTTTTTTTTTTTGGTCGGATGCCTTTCGTTTGGTCTCAGATCGTCCTGACGAAGGCGGACCTTCTCACTCCCGAGCTGCTGTCGGCTTGCGTACTGCTTCTGCGGCGTGACCTGTCGGACCTGATCGGCCAGGAGGCCGGCTCGACGGCTCCGTTTTCGGCCGTGTGCGGCACCTCCGGGGCCGGGGTAACGACCCTCTGGAAGGACCTGGCTAAGCAGTGAGTGCCGTGCGTGTTCCCCCTCGGACTTGGAAGGCCCCCCGTTGCTTCCGACAGGCGTGCGCATTGTGTTGTAAAGGTCGATAAGAAAAAATAGAAGAAACACCACCCGAAAAACGATGTCGAACCCATAATCTCGCACACGGTCTATTTGCTCGGGTGTATATCGCTTTTAAGTAAGCACGCGGTGGCGTTCGAAGCCTCACGCCTTCTGCGATAACACACGTTGCTTTTGAAACATGTAGACGGTCAATGAGTGTCGTCCAGATTGATCTAGTAGGCCGCTTCTTTCTGGCGAGATCTGCCTCCACCTACTTGGACAATGGACATTACTCGATGGTGGGTGCTTAGACAGAGGAACGGCAAACCAACTCAAGCCTGGGCTACACAAGTGGATTCTATCTCCACCGTGGTGATTGTCACGACCAACTCCTGTTCGGCCCTCGCTCTGATGGCGTGAGCTCGAGGGAGCTCGTCGCTCGCCCAGTCCATCGGAAAAACAAGCATTATTTCGCTGACATGCTTGCGCACTACAGTAGCTTATCTGTCCGTCAAGTCCAGACGCTTTTCTGTGTGTTATTTGTGGGTTAACGTCGACCCCTACCCACCCACTCCGATTTTCTTTTTGATTACGTTCGTGTTGGAAAAGGGCGGCCAAGGCACCCGGATCGCTCGTGGCGACGCAGGCGGCCCATCTAGCCGCGAGAAAAGCTAGGGAGAAGGAAGAGGCAGATTTGTTGTCTAGAAGGGCAGCGAGGACGAGCAGGGAACACTGACGAAGTATGACGATGGTGGTCGTGGTGACAGAGAGAGCTTTGGCTCAAGTGCCAGTGGATACAAGCGGCCTAGTGTACGGATGGTACAATATCGTCGACGTTGATATTTGTTTGTGTGCATTTCTGGTCTGTCCAAGCTCTTGTGTCAGAAATGGCAAGAATGGGTGGTGGGTGTCTTGCATCACTTCGACTTCGAAGATCATGTCGTTCGGAACCAACCGTTAGTGGTTGAAAAAGAGTCAAAGGAAGAATGACACGACGGAGGAACACAGTAGTAATTGGCAGCGTGCACTGCGGGGGTGGGACGATCCTGGGAAACACCCCGCCATCGTCCGCAGTTTCTACCCACCGTCGGCGGCGTTCTCTGCTAGCTACGACATTGTCCAACGCCTCGTAACCCCTGCTTACTACTGCTGTGTACGTTTTGCTCTAGATTTGTGTTAAAACGTGAAACCGTTTTAACCCCTTGCTTACTACAATTGTACTGGTACTCACGTTTTGTTCTAAATATGTGTTCAAACGTGAAACCGTAGCTCGCGGCACTTTCGATACGCCGTGAGAAGGATGGCGCCTCAACCGTGCTTGCTATGTATGTAACATGAGAGCACGTGGGCATCGAAGCAAGGGCAGGGATGCGGACAAGCATGTTGACCATTTCACGATGGCAGTGGTATCTCTGAAAGTGTACCGTGATAGTGTAGGCGAACGCACAGGCGTGCGATGGAAGTTGAGAGCTCGATGCTCTACACCCAAGGGCTGCCAGTGCCGAAAATGACGGTTTCGGGAAGATCTCGTCGAGAGCTTTCCTTGCAGATTGTGATGCAATCGGTCTGCAAATTTCAGTCGCACACCTGTCTGTGCGTTCGCCCACACCTTCACGGTAGTGTAGCGAAACTTGCACAACAGAATGAATGGTAACGTGCGCACATAGCAGCTGGCTTTCGAAAGCAAAAACGACTAGTATTACACCGATGCCTTCGACGTGTGACACCCGTGGCCTACGGTCGCAGCCCATCATCAACCATCTCTCCACGTCGAACCGAAGGAGCTGACCATTCCCCGGAACTTTTCCAAGGACAAGATGATTGCCTAGTGTAGCGCGCGTGATAAAAAGTGCAATGTAAGCAATCTCGTACCCGCGAACAACGATGAACTATCACCCACCTCACAATGCATGTGTCATAGCGAAGCTGTGGAGGAATGAGTGCTCCTCCCTTCTTCGACAGCGTGTCGCCATAAACTCCTCCTCTATTCTACAGCGTGTCCCCATAAACACAAGTTCTGCGCTACTGCTACTCTACGTTTGCTTGATTAGTGTACCAAAGGAGTTGTAGATGTCATGGGTCAACCTTCTGCCATCTCTCTGTGGTCCACAACCCATTGTCGCTGAAGCGGACAGAAAGAAGAGACGAGGGCTGAAGGGCAACGACGAAGGGGACGCCGCGGGCTTCCAGGTCAAATAAGTCTCCACTTCTCCAATTGTTGACGTTTTGCCGCTGCTGCTGCAGTCGCAACGAGGCTTTTCCCTGTCGTATTTGGCCTAGTCGCACGCTATCTTGGAGTCGAAGGAGCTGAGGGTGATCGCGAAAGCCTGGAACGGTGAAACGGGGTACTACAAGAGGACCAAAGCGAGAGGCAGTCGAACAGTTGGCAGAGGCAGGGACATGACGTTGGGATTGAGAGAGGCGCAAACGGAGAGCACATACGCAAGTAAACAAACGAAACGTGGCCCACAGCCAGTCTGTAACGACTTGAAACTTTCGGTCAGTCCGATTTTACCTATTACCGAGGCGTGAGGCGTGTGCGTCGGGGGAGGGATACCGGGGGGGGGCAAAAAACACGGTCCAAGTACTCCGTCCGTGTCCAGGGTCAGAGTCTCATATTCATCTCATCTGACGACCCTACGGTGGGCTGTTCACCTGGAAGTCCATGGTGAACTCCTCGCGAGCCACCCTGCCGAACTGCAGAATGATGCGGTCGAAATCTTCGGTGGAAACGAGCTGGAAGTTTTTCACGCTCGCCATGGTTACCCTGCCGTAGAAGTTCAGCACGTACGCTCCCACCTGCGCGGGCGAGTTGCGATGGGATGGGCAAGGGCTGGGGTGTCTAAGAAAGATCCAAATGCAGGTGTTCTCGTGGTTTTGGTGAGACCTTCGGAAAGGGCCCGAACAACAGAATCTCAATCTTCAATCGAAACAAGCTCGAGTGCACAGGAGTGCTAGCAACGACTCCTTCTAGCACGACGAACGTGACCGAGCGCGCTGCGGGCACGTTGTTTGTACTCTCCTCTCGGTTTCTTCCTGAATAACTGTTTTGCCAAGCGTGCCAAGTTGGTCGATACACAAAAAGGATTGACGAAACTCCATCGAGCGCTGTTGCGGGGACAAACCGCCTTTTGTGTGTGTCTTGGATGTCCCTGTCTTTCTTTCCTGTTGTTCTCCGAGGCCACGAGACGGCCAGACGTGTTTCTTGCAAACAAAAAAGGCTCGGTCTTGGCATGCGAACGACAAACACACACGTTCACATTCGTTACTTAATTGCTACGGCCCAGAGGCTCGTTAGCCACCACGCAGAATGAACGGCTCCCCGGGCCAGGAGAAAACGAAACGACCACGATTTCCGGCGATGAAAAAACAGCGACAGCACACCTGGTCGTTCCACCGGGGAGGTTTGTTGACCATGTAGAGCGACCCGTCGTAGTCCCTGTTCTTGACCCTCTCGATGGCCTTGGAGCCTCCTCCTGCAGCCTGGCTGCCCCGGCCCCCCTCCAGGCCGGACCACTTGCACACCTCTCCCGCCTCGTTCACGGCAGGAATCGCCACCTTTAGCGTTCGGAGGTAAAGATATGTTGATGTTGATGGAGGGGGAGAGAACACAGATAGATGTTTGAGCCAGAAGAGGACAGGCGATGAAAGACTGAGTCATGATGCCCACGGCAACGACAAGAGGACACAGATACTGGGCAAGAAGAAACGATGTGATGCAAGGATGAGTTGTGACACGTGATGGCGACGAGAATAAAAAAACATGAAAACGTTGGTCGGGGATGTGTTCGGAGGGGAATGGTTGCTGTTTTCGTTTTTATATATGGGCAGGTGAAACGCGTGCAGAAGGCCAACAAAGTGAACGGGGTGTGTAGCGAAGGCCAGAAAGCAACCAACGCATGTTGACTTTATTTGGGAGTATCAAGACCTATTAAAGGGAAGAAAGACAAACACACGAAAGACAAAGGATGGAATGGAGAAAATGCGAAGCGCACGGGCAAGGATTTGAATCGTCGCCTGGAATCAATCGTTTTTGAACAGAACAAGCAGGAGAAATATGACGGAAATCTAGCAAAACGAGCTATTAGGCGTCTCCTTTGTTCGACCCGCCAGCTCTCCTCTGCCAGAGGGAGTGAACGAACCAGGAAAGCGTAAGAGGCAGGACACCGCTACTAGCCGCCACGCTTCTCTCTCGGTGGGAGCGGTAACGACCAAGCGGGTCGAAAGGACCAACTGGGGGATGCGAAGCGAAAAACAAGCAGGTCAACCGCTTTCCAAGCCACTAAGAGATTCAACGCTGCGAGGTACCGGTGAAACGTTATTGGTATTCATTTTGTGTGTACAAGCCCCAACATGAATCTACATAGCTGAGGCTCCTAGCAATGCGCATACTCTCCGCGTTTCAGGAAAAGTATAGTGTATTGACGTGACGTCATTGGAGGGGAAGAAAGTGTGTCGATATGGGCGTGTGCCCGACACAAATAGTGATTGACCAAACAAACCTCGCTTGCACGCCCCATATACAGTTCATTGGAAAACGATGCTGCCGTGCTGTGGCGTACACAACACGTATGGGTGGGTGTAGGTGTGCAACACGCACGAGGTAGAGCAAGGACCTTTTTCCTTGTTCGCGCGCTTGAAGGGGTTCGGGCAAAGGGAGCAAAGTTTTGAAGAACCACCACATGTTTTCGCGAGTATCTTAATAACCACGCAACAACACAACAAGAACGAACAATCAAGAACACAACAACAACAACAACAACAGCGACGACAACGACAGACGCATCTATGTATTACCTGCATTTTTCTCGGCCCCCTAGAGCCGAGTACGTTGGAGGCATACATGACGCAGCCCAGTTCCTCCCGAAGAGACATGTTCTTGGCACCACTGCTCCCAGAGCCACCGCTGCCGCCGCCGAAGTTGCCGCTGCCCCAGCCCCCTCCTCCGCCGAGCTCTTTCGGGCTGTAACCATCGTCGAACACCTGCAGGACCAACGACAGGCAACGCGGCAGCAGCGACTTTAGGGACACCTTTGGCAGCGCCTTAAGGGACAACTTTCAGGACGACATTTAGTAGCAACTTTTAGTTTTGGGGGAAGACAAGCAGCACAGGCTATGCAAAGACACACACACGGCGCAACAAGAAACAGCCATTGTAGACAGGAAAACCAATATCATCACCAACCAGAGGCAACCCCCTGTATATGAACTAGCACGATGTTCCATTGTTACACACAACACTACAACACTATGTTCGTTGCGGCCATTGTATTGACGGAGGCCTTAACACTGTTTCGTCCCCACGTCACGGGACCACAAATTCACCTGGAATTCTGTGCCCACGAAATTGGCCCGGAGCTTCCCGAGGAAGTTGGTCGAGTTTCTGTCCAGATCCCCCGCTCTCATCGATACCAGGTAGTTGGATGTGGCGTTGTTGGGGCGCTTCTTGGAGCACATGAGGAAGCGGTCTCCCTCCTAACAAAACAAAAAATCAAAAGAACAAAACAACAACAACAACAACAACAACAACAACAACAACAACAACAACAACAACAACAACAACGACGACGACGACGACAACGACAACGACGCAGAAACAGCATGGTATCGTATCGCGGGAAGTGGAAGATTATTCGTTTGTGGTAGGTATGTACGCAAACACGTGTGCCGTAAAGGCCGGAGAGTTGGCACCGGGTGCAATCGCTATTATTAACGTTTTTTTCTTCGTGGTTCTTGACGCACCCTGCTGCAATCTTCACGACCTCGGCGCGGAAACGCAAAAAAATCACCTCGTTTGGCTTTTTCAAGGCACCCCGGGTGGGATCTCTCCGATCGGTGCGATGCCCAATGAAATACACGCAGCGCGGCCTTACCAGTGCTACGGTGGTGTTGCATGCACACCCCGGTTTCATCTGCCCGACCGCTGCTATCTCTCTCCCTCTGGGTGTTGGTGCCGGTACATACGGTACCAGGTTGTCTCCCGCTTTCATTTCGGTCTTCCTCTATGGATACCAGTACGCATGCACCAGCACAATAGATTATTTGCCTAAGGAGGGGGTAGGCTACGGCTCGTACGTTGCGTGCGTGCGTGGTGTACGGAGTGTACGGTTTGCAACGTCCATACCGATTTAATTCTAACAACAGATAATTCTGCGTCAACCGTACCGACCGTGCATGCATTCATGAAGGAGCGACGCTCCGCTGACGCAGTCATCACATGTACAAGGTACGCATATGTACCTCTTTACGGCAGCTTAAAATGCGCTCAATCTTCGATTTGAGAGTCGATGGGGTCGATGAGATCGTACCAGGTGCGATCTCACCCACCCCGTGCGGAAATACAAATATATCGCGCGGTTCATGTCTTCTTTCGGTACCATACGACCGGTGCCATCTGTCCGACCCGTGCAATCTCTCCGAAGATGGGTAGGCTGCTGTGTGCACGCAGATCGGAGCCGCTTGGTTGAGGAGTGAAGAAAGAAGACGGCAGGATGTGGGTAGAAGGTTGTGGATAACGCCAACGTAAAGGGGTGTGAGGCTGGAGCAGGTAATTAAAAAGCCGTCCAGGATAGGAGTGTCAAAACGTTTCGAATGACTCCACAGAAAAAATCTGCGCTTCTGGTACATACAAAGCTTGACACAGCCGGCACGACGTTGGGAACGTGAGCACATCTCGCCTATGCCTTTGTGGACTCTTTTGCATCAAAACAGACACAAGGCGCACACGTGGGCTCGGTTGCCTGAATCTCTGAAAGCGCGTCGGTGGCGGCGATGACGATCACACACGGCCGCAGACGTCCTCGCCATGGAGGTGAACCCACTTGTGTCATCAACCTACCATACATCTCGTCTTGCCTCCTGAAGAGGGTTGTCCGCGACCCCTATCAAACGTCTCTAACAAGGTGGTGTTGTTCACTGCCGGTCATAATGTCACCGTATCTTTCATCCATGTATTGTAAGGTCGCCGCATCTTTCACCTTCATGTGTCCTAAGGTCACCCTATCTTTCACGTTCATGCGCCCTAAAGTCGCTGTATCTTTCACCTGCATGTGTCTTAAGGTCACCGTATCTTACCTCCATCCGTCCTAAAGTCACATATCTTGCACCTTCATGTGTCTTAAGGTCACCGTATCTTTCACCTTCATGTATAGTGAGGTCACCGTTTCTTTCACCTTCATGTGTCTTAAAGACACATATCTTGCATCTTCATGCGTCTTAAGTTCACCGTATCTTTCGCCTTCATGTGTCCTAAAGTCACATATCTTGCATCTTCATGTGTCTAAAGGGCTCCGTATCTTTCACCTTAATGTGTCTTCAATTCGCCGTATATTTCACCTGCATGTGTCTTAAGGCCGCCGTTTCTTTCACCTTCATGGTCTTAAAGTCACGTGTATATCTTGCACCTTCATGTGTCTTTAGGTCACCGTATTAATCACCTTCATGTGTCTTATAGGTCACATAATTTGCACCTTCATGTGTCGCAAGTTCGCCGAATCTTTCACCTTCAAGAAGAGGGTGTACTCCGGGAATATCTTGTTGGCCCTGGTCTTGTTGCGGCGGATGTAGCACTGGACCACCCCCGCCGCTCGAGGGCACGGGGAGAGCAAGAACCGCTGCGACACGGGGCCGAAAACAAGAAAACGAAGCACACAGAACCAACAAAATAAAAGCAGAGCCATGAGTCAACCAGGCGGGTTGTTACTAGTTCCTTGTCCTATTCACCATTAGGTAGAGGAATGTGGTAACAAACTATTTCCTTGACAATAAAATGACTTTGCCGTAACAATACATTTGAGAAACAGACGATAACATCGACACCCCAAGATAGAACCGCTTCCAGCGGAAGGCTTTTGTTTTCCTCGTGGACTCGTTATGCTTCTCCGTGGCATGGACAGATCTTGGGAATAGGGCTTGTCTACCTTGCCCCATTTTCCCGTACCCTAGAGAGAGAATTGGGTCGCGCTGCTGACGGCGCTCGACTTGCCGCAGGCGAACTTTGCATGGCGGCACACCATCCAAACTTTAGTCGCATAGCGTACTCTGTGGGAACAATGAGTGCGTGCATGGGTAGTGTAGAGAAGGAACGCCGTGTGTGCAGATTGATCCTGGTCGCACTCGGGGGCCGAGTGCAACACGAAATTTTGAAATAAAGGTAATAAGTACATTGCAAGATATTACCCAGCTCGCGTGGGATGGCCGATTGAGACATTGTAGCTGGCACTTTGCGAAACAACCACACACTAGAACCATGTACACGCGCTCTCCATTCATGTACCTCATTACCGGTCACGGCAATGGTTACCCTGATATGTTCATGTCGTCGACACGTCGTGCCGAACAGAGCGAGAAAAGAAAAAGCGAGATCGAGGCCTTCGCACTGGAGAAATCAACGAACGAACATCCTCCATATACTTTGAGCCAGAAAAAATGAGCGATTTTCGACGGCTGTAGGCATTCGAAACGAAACTGGAAACCGTTTGGATGGAACGCAAATCAAACCAAGACAGCGACACACACACGAAGTTCGAACGATTCACAACCTTCGGATGGAACGGTCCAGGTGTTACATCACCTTAGTTATCACCTTCGGATAGAGACACTCACCTTCATATCGGAGAGGTCGAGGGCGGCCATGTTGAACTCCACTTCTCCGCCCCCGCTCACCCCGGCCCCCGCCACCGCCGCAGAAGGTGTGGCGGCGATGCCGTCACGAGGGGCGTGGGCACCGCCGCCGCCTGCCCCCCCTCCCGCCACCGCTGCGGCCTCTCCCGCTCCTCTCTTCCCGCCACCATCCCTTCGTCGTACACCGAACACGTGGTGATATGGGCACAATCACGAGACTCAGAAGGTCGTAATGTTGTTGTTGCTATTTTCCGAGAGGACTTCATGGTAAGACAGGTGTCGCGACTTGACCGCGATGTAAAAAGCCGAATGGCCACGGTGATAGTCACCGAGTAGTCCCCCCCCCCCTCGAATCGGTATTTCCCCCCCCCGGTGTTTGCCATCGGGATTGGGTTTTCGTCGCTTGGCAACGACGTTGTAAAACAAGCCAATTCACT